ATTCTGCAATTTTTGAAATTAAACGGGTTCAATTTTCTATCACCGTTAAACGTCTTGTTATCGACAAAGCCAACTATTATTCGTTTCGGCAGCTGTCCGAGTATATTGCATTGTCTATCGATTCCCCCACGACACCGGCGTGTATCGTGAATGTTTTAACTTCGACTCTCGTAAGGGGATACTTGGCGGTAGTTTTACTCAGCATTCTAGCGTGTGCGAGTAGCACACCCGGACTTATTTTTGCTCTTCTTACGAGTAAACTGGCATCGAGAATACGTATTTTTGACATCGTTCTAGTGTCCATAAGGCAACATGAATCTTTCGAGCGTACGAGTCTCATTTTAACTTCCACACCGTTAATTAAAAATTTATCTTAATTGAAAACGTCGCAGTGAAGGTGACCTACGAGATCTAGCGCACGATTTCCTTGAATGTATTTCGCGCGTCTCTCGAGTGCCGTATTCGGATTTGACGAGTCTAACGTGTCGTCCATGTAGCCGGGAATATCCGCGTCCCATAAGCAAGAGGTTAGATGGGAAGTTTTTGTGGGTGAAGCATAATTTAATAACGCCTCGATGTACGCGCGGTAAGTGTAAGCGTTGTTTGGTGGCGACACGAGTTTTTGATTGAAATACACGTCGATTTGATTGAACTGGAATGCAGTAAATGATTTACGGGCCCTACTTTTGCCACGTCGGTGGCTGCGATCGATGTGCTCTCCCCGCGTTCGCTTTCTACGCGTATGCCAAGGCTCAACATGGTGTGAGTGAGATCCAGACAGTCTTCTCCATGGCCGGAGATTTTTCTTCCTGCAGCGCGAATTTTCTTTTTCTTCTTCGTCATTTTTTTGCTCTTCTTCCCTGTGCTACTTCTCGATGATTTTTTTTTACCGCCCGACGTCGTTTACGAAGCGCGATACGATTATTCCAACCTCCGAATGGAAACTGAAGTGTTGCGGACTTTGCGGATACTTTATATCCCGACCCCCTCATCAGGGAACTTATATTTTCTTTGGTTTTTCTCTTCAGATTACCCCCAGATTCCGCGAGCCGACTTTTGACCGTTTCCTTCAACGACTTATTATTTTCGACGTCTTCTATTACGTTAATTCCCGCACGTAAAGCTTCTTTTCCGACGGCACGTGCACCTTTACCTAGGTAAGGTAATATTTTTCTGAATAGACCACCGAGAAAGCTTCCGATTCCATGTCCGCGTTGATAGGGCGAACCGACGAAAACACGTGGAATTCCACCTCGACCAACCATGTCCCGCGCATCAAAATACTCCTCATACTCCATAGCTAGTTTCTAACTAAAGACTGTCGCTATATCGACACGCTCGCGTATACGACAGAAAAGTTAATGCTTACGTTTAAAGTGCAGCGTCACTGTCAGCGTTCCGAATTCGAATGGAATTTTTTTTCCAAGATGATCTCTTATATCTATTTCGATCGTTCTGAAATTCGTTCGTCGCAATGGGATATAATTTGGAAACGAGAAATGATCACCAAATTTGCACCAAATGCGTAATTATGGTTGCGTATCTTGACCGGAACTATCCTGAGAAGAGGAGTACGTACATCACCTGTTATATAAGGCTCACAAATATCGCAATAAACGAACATTTTATCGGGAATACCCCGCCACAAACTATAGGGTTCGGTACTCCAGTAAAGGTCTGCAAGTCGTTTTCCCGTCTCCTTATTAAATCC